AAAAAAAAAAAAAAAAAAAAAAAGCCAAGAGGTTTATGTAACTTCTAGAATGTAGAATGAGTTTGATTTTGTAAGGCTATGAAAGGTAAATTTATCTTGAGGCCACACACAATGTTAAGGGAGCCTTTTCAGGAACTGTGTGACCTGAAACAATGAAACCCATTGCTGAGGCCATAAAGTCACCTGCACACACCCAACCCCATGCTGACCTGAGTAATCTCTTGTTGCCCAGTCTGGAGTCCAATGGCACAATCTCGGCTCACTGCAACCTCTGCCTCCTGGGTTCAAGCCATTCTCCTGCCTCAGTCTCCCAAGTAGCTGGGATTACAGGCACGTGGCACCACGCCCGGCTAATTTTTGTATTTTTTAGTAGAGACAGGGTTTCACCATGTTGGTCAGGCTGGTCTCGAACTGCATGGAGCTTTTTCTTTACAAATGTTTGCCTAAGATGATTCCTAACTATGTGCTTCAGGGAAAGATGAGGGTCTAATGTTTCGTTAGCAGGGATAGTGTAACTTTTCACAGGAAGTCAGCCAGACATAGACAGCAGGCCATTCTACTCAGGACCAGCGATGCTAAGGCAAACTGGGGGCGCGATTCAGCTGACCTCGGCTTGTCCCTTTCACTTCCCGTAACAAGTGTCACCAGTGAGGGGCACACATTACTTGAGATAAATGATAAAGGAGACTTTTGGAAGAGTGGAACCGCAAATCAAAGAGTAGCAATTTGGGGGCCACAACTATCCCCATCCCAGAAGCTCGCCTCACCCAGGTTGTGCCGCTTCGACTTCGCGTGCTCGTGAATATGCTTCTTTGTGAAGCAGCCGAAGAAGACGCAGTAGAGGCAGGAATGCAGCCTGTTGAGGTGGACGCCACAGACGTGGCAGATGCAGGACTTGGCCTGAAATTCAGAGAAGCGAAGATGTGGGCGGTGACAGGACAGGGGTGCTCGGAGGAAACAGTCAAGCAAAGGATCCCCCCGGAACAGCTACTGGAGGAAGGACCGCGAGCTCCACTCTAGAGGATCAGTTTCATTCTTTCAATTCCCCCCAAATGGGACTTCATTCAGTTGAAAACTAGTTCCCCATAGGAACACTCAGCTCACAACCTCAACTGCCAAAACCCTGTAAGCTACGAGGATATTCCCCTTACGTCCTCCTCCTGATCCTGAAGGGCACCCCAAGCCCAGCTCCCGTCCCCACTGCAGGCCGGTAACTCATATCTAGTCACCCTTAACCTGACATCATTTCAGGTTTGCGAATCCAGGTTCCAAACCACAGCAAATTTAGAAGCAGTAAGAAAAAGGGAGGGAGATATGAATCAAAGCAGGGCATTACCAAAAAACAGACCCCAAAAACCTGAAATGTTAGATCACGGCAATGAGGCACACAGTGGTAAACAAGCCTTACACATCCAACCACCCAGGACGCCACTGACTCACACAACACTGACAGGACGTGTGAACAGGGACAGGTGCCACTGGCAATACTGGCACAATTTGAGCACAGAAATGAATAATAAAAATAAATTATTTATACTGACTTTAAAAAGAATCCCTAAGTCCAGATTGATAAATATATACACCTACTATATACCCATCAGATTTTTTTAAAAAGAAATTAATACTATACAAATACACAGAAAGTCGTCTTCACAGGAGAACTCCTTCTAATAAATGCCGCAGAAAGACAAAAATACAAGATCTTCATTTTATACTTATCATAGTAATAACTGATTCAGGCAAGAATCATCAGTGGATGCTAGAACCACTGGGTAAAAAATACTGTGTCGGCCAGGCACGGTGGCTCACACCTGTAATTCCAACACTTTGGGAGGCCAAAGTGGGCGGATCACAAGATCAGGAGTTCAAGACCAGCCTGGCCAACATGGTGAAACCCCGTCTCTGCTAAAAATACAAAAAGTTAGCCGGGCATGGTGGCATGCACCTGTAATCTCAGATACTTGGGAGGCTGAGGCAGGAGAACCACTTGAACCCAGGAGGTGGAGGCTGCAGTAAGCCGAGATCGTGCCACTGCACTCCAGCCAGGATGACAGAGCAAGGCTCCATCTCAAAAAAAAAAAAAAAAATGTTTGTCATCCCCAACTGTCTAAACAAAAACGGCCCAGATATTCATCAACAGGTGAGTGGGTGAACAAACTGTGGCATATACACAGTGGAATGTTAATTACTCCACGCAGAAAGGAACAAAGTACACGCTACAATGCTGCCTAGCCTTAAAAACATCATGCTAAGTGATGGAAGCCAGAAGCAAAAGATCACGTATCCTGTGAGATCTCAGATGGGAAGGTGCCAGGGGCTGCGGGCAGGGAGAACAAGGAGATGAAAACGTTTTCAAATTTGATATAGGTACAGCAGTGACTGCACAGCAGTGTGAGCCACTAAGTGTTGCTGAAAGATTCCTCTAAAACGGTTAGTTGTACTATGTGAATTTCACCTCAATGAAAAAATACATTAAGTTACATATAGAATTGTCCCTCGGTATCTAGAAACTGATTCCAGGACCCTCTCAGGTACCAATCCATGGATACTCAACTCCCCAATATAAAATACACTTGCAAATAACCTATGCACATCCTACCATAAACTTTCAATCATCTCTAGATTACTTATAATACCTAATACAAAGTAGGTGCTATGCAAACAGTGGTTATAGTGCATTGTTTCAGGAATAATGAGATGAGAAAAACTCTGTACATGTTCAGTACTGATTCATCATCCCTTTTCTCCCCGCAAGTATCTTTGATTTGTGGTTGACTGAACCCACAGAGGCAGAACTCAGGCTGCTTGTATATGTACGTATGCACACACGCATGTGTACTTCTGTACTGAGGCACTGAATACCTCCAGTTTCAGAGTATCACCCCAGAGACGACGTCAGTCAATTAAACAGGCAAAGATTACCTCTACAACAGAGAACTCTGGCCAACGCCACCCTAAGCAAACTCGCCCCCGCCACAGAGGGGGCAGGTGCAGAGGATGGCACGGCAGCACCTGAGGAATGCTCCGACCAACACGGTCCATCTGGAACCTACTCCTGAGGAGGAGGCGGCATGTCCAAACTGAAGGACATCTGCAAAATGACTGACCTGAGCTCTTCAAAAATATTCACATAATGAAAGCAAAACAGGCTAGGAATTTCTAGATGAACCAAATCTAAAGACACATGAAAACAAATGCAATCCATGATCCTGAATTGAATCCTGTATGCAAATATTTAAAAGCATAAAGGATATTACCAGGACAATTCAGGTATTTAAGTTTGGACAATATATGTTAGATAACACGATTCGAAAAATTAAGCTTTGACTGTGATGACTGTCCCAGGCGGTAAACTGTCATGATGCCCATGACCAACCCTCAGATGATTCAGAAAAAGGTACAGACAAAACCAGCTAGCAAGAAGCTAAAATTAATGAATTCATATAAATGTATGATATTAATTTTGGCATTCTTGCTATCTGTTCTAGGTTTATTTTCAAAATAAACTGATAGGAGCCATTAAATTGAGCATACATACCCTGCAGCCCAACCATTCAACTCATAGGTTTACATACGAGACACAAACAAGGACTTTTGTAGCATTATTACTTGTAATACCTCAACACTGAAAATAAAAATGTTCATTACTAGTAAAAAAAATAAACTATAGTACAGTTAATTCAGTAGAGTACTACACAGCAACAGAAAGGAACCACCTATGATATACTTGGCAGCGTGGATGAATCTCAGAACTGAACCAAACTGAGCTAAACACAAGCCCTTGGTGTGCTACACACTCCTTTATACTCTCTCTACTACACAACCTAGGATGCTCCCCGCACAGGTTAACCGATCACCAGGGAAGACACATTTTACAGGCCTCATGGAGCCAACACAGCTAACATGATTCAAGCGGCCAACCAACAAGGCAACTGGTACTAAATACAGAAAACGGCTGTCCCTGACATACTGATAAGGCCTTTATCTTATGTCTTGTCTAGTCACGCACCACACAGCGATGTTTCAGTGAATGACAGGCTGCATATACAATGGCGGTCCCAGAAGACTACAATAGCATATTTTTACTCTATCTTTTCTGTGTTTGGCTACAGACACACAAATGCTCACCATTGTGTTTCAATTCCCAAGGTGTTCAGTACAGTACATGCTGTACAGGCCTGCAGCTGAGAAGCAACAGGCTCCATCACACAGCCTGGGTGTGCAGTAGGCTGTACCGTCTAGCTTTGTGCTACGTCACTCTATGATGTTCGCACAAGGATGAAATCGCCTAACAATGCATTTCTCAGAACGTATCCTGTCTTTAAACAATGCCATGACTGTTATTCTATTTCTCCCCAACTTGCACTGTGCAATGGTGAGTCCATTAATACTGCATCAGATTGAAATTGAGTAGAGGCAGACACAGGAGGGAGGCAGCACAAGTCTTCCAGCGTCTGGAAGAGGCCAGGAAGAGCCTCTGGGGGGACTACCCGGCAAACACTTTATTTTGGACTTCCAGTCACAGAATTGGAGATGAAATTTCTGTTGCTCTAAGTCACTCCATGTGTGGTAGTTTGTTACAGCAGCCCTGGGCACTCACATGGAACTCACATTCATTTTTATTCTAACTCCCTTCATGGCACTAAAGTAGAAAACACAGCCTGGCGTGGTGGCTCATGCCAAAAATCCAGCACCACTTTGGGAGGCCGAGGTGGGAGGACTGCTTATGGCCAGGAGTTCAAGACCAGCCTGGGCAAAATAACGAAACGTCATCTCTACAAAAAACGCAAAACTTAGCTGGGCACACTGAGGCACACCTGTAGTCCCAGCTACTCGGGATCATTTGAGCTGGGGAGGTCAAGGCTGCAGTGAGCCAAGATTGCATCACTGCCCTCTAGCCTGAGCAACAGAACCAGACCTGTCTCCAAGGAAAAAAAAAAAAAAAAAAAAAAAAAAAAAAAAAAAACACTTGAAAATGCATTCCCCATGCACCCTTGTGGCTCAGGTTCCAAACATGTCTTGGGACACATTTGCAGACCATGAGGTTGGTGAGTAAGCCAAAGGGAGAGGCCCAGTGGGGGCACCCACATGCTGGTATGGACCCTGAAGGGGTGGCCTGTTTAAGCAGCCCAGCACACTAGTTCCTGGTGTAGTGGGCTGAAGAGGCAGGATTCCCCAAGCTGGTACGTTTTCCTAGAAACTCAATCTAGAATCTACTACTCCCATAGCCCTTGCAATGATTTCTGAATTAAATCCCTTTCTCCTATAAATTAATTCAAGTAGATTCTATAGACTGCCAGTAAATCCTGAAACATAACCAGGATTTGTATGTGACAGGAATCAGGAGAGGGATCACTAATTTAAACAAATTGTTGTTGAGAGAAACACCCTGCCAAATCCATTAATTCAGTCCCAATATTAAGAAGATTCCGCCGGGCGCGGTGGCTCACGCCTGTAATCCCAGCACTTTGGGAGGCTGAGGCGGGTGGATCACGAGGTCAAGAGATCGAGACCATCCTGGTCAACA